GCTATAACTCCAGAGATAAGTTTAATCAATGAAAGTGTACAAAATTATGTCAATGAAATGGAGCAAATACCGTTACAAACAGTTGAGGAGCAAAATGCTGCGTTAAGTGAGCTCGAGGGAAAGAAACATCAACTTGAAAATCTATTGGAAAATATTCCATTAGATGATGAAGGTAATGAGTTACGAGAGAAGGGTAGTAGACTACTGGGACAACTCAATGATATTCTAAAACGGTTAGCTGGTGCAGTTGGGGAGAAGCTTGCAGCATTAGCTGCATTCAATGCAATCAAAGACGAAATTGAAACACAACTGTCATCATTGCAAGCTATACCGATGTTGATTTCTGATGAAATTACTATATCTGAGCTTGATAATCGACTACATAATATAAATGTAAGTGTCGTTGCATAGATAAGATTTAAAATTCTATATCCCGCATGAATGTTTTCTATAATCTGATGCGAGGGCTGTAATCTTGGTGCTTTTTTTTTTCTTTTTCTTTGTTCTGCGCAGATTTGATCTTTTCATTTGTCTGCTGCAGCCGAATTTTTGATGTGAATAATGGTTTGCATTTAATCAAGTTGTGTTCTTTTCCTGTTTTAGTTGACCGTTGAATCGGCTGCAATTAGTTCTAGTCATGTCCTCAGCTTGTGTCATTCCCGCAGTTGGACCATTTTTTTGCAGATCGATACAGAAAAGTTGCAGAAATTGAAGGAAAAATTGTTATATGCAAGTGTCTCTGAATCGGACAGGGAACAGTGCAGTAAAAGAAATGATCTCTTGTCAAAAATTGATGAGTTTCTGCTAAGTAGACAGGTATTATTTCCTTTGATTTCTATTTTCAGCATTATCTGTGCTGTTTTGTGCATTGGCAGATGAGGTTTTCAACAAATCTACCACTACTTTTATTGTTTAATGATCACTTTTAGCAAGTGTATTGCAGAAGGATCATGAATATTTTGAAGAAAAACGTATCCAGTTGCTCACTTGTGAAAGGATATTTACCGATTGTAAAGCATTATACAATGAGTTGGAAAAATTGATAAAGCATGGTCAGAAGTTGTTGAACGATTCAGAAGCTCTTCCTGATTCTTATGGTTCGGTCTCAGATGCATTGACTACTGTTATTGAAAGGGCAGTCAATTTACGTATCAGTGAACCGAAAATCGAACAACCGCAGGAGCTAGTTTTTGAACAGTTATGGAAACTAATTGACGAAGCCAGAGATGTGCAGACGCTATTGATTCAACGTGTTTATGTGTGGGAACAATTTGTAAAGGAACATGACTCATCAATGGAGAAACTGAACGGTATACGCAGACATATATGTGAAATTGAGGGACGCGGAATGAGAAGATTTGATCAAATGCTTGATGATTTGGAAGCTCTGAAGGTTTTTTTTCTTAATATAATTGACTTGACTTACGCTGGTCTGTGAAAAAATTTTCAAGGCCTGCATGTGGTAAACTGTTTGCTTTGCTTTAGCCTTACGATCTTGAACCGGTTTTAGGAGCTTTCACCTCTTTCAATCTAAATACTTCATTTAGACAGGTGATATATAGCGTTGTTTCAGGTTCTCTACCTGAGATGGTCGTTCCTCGCAAGTCTGCCATCACAACTACTGTCTCTGAGCTCACAGCTTCACCCACTAGCCTATACCCAACGAGAGGGAAAAGCGTTTGCTGAAGAAGCAAGTAAACTTGAGAAGAAAATCGAGGTTTTCTCTTCTTTTTTATGCTTTTTGACAGTTTGATTTGTTAGACTTTGTATAATATAAGAATTGAATTAAACTTGTTTAAAATCCCACATTTTTTCCTTTAAATAAAGAGGAAACTTTTAACTTACCAGTCGTTATTAGTTAGAAGAAACTTTTAACTTGCCAATTATTATTATCAATTATTATCTTACCAGTTATTAGTGGTTTTAATTGTTTTCGGAAAATGGGTGATTTTAAATATCCGAGTTTTAGAATTTGTTGGATTCCATGTCTGCCGAATTCCGTGTAAGAGAAGAAATAGTGCATTCGTTACTCGTAATATCAGATGAACTCGACGATATCAAAAATGCATTCAATGTTCAAAATATATCACCTCGTCTACAGAAGGTGTTTTTACTACAAAGAAAATGTTATACCGCAAAACTTTTGAAATCCTTCTAACTAAATGACTACTAAATGTAAAATGTGTAAATCTGGTAAGGAAACCAACTCTCATAAATTTATTAGGTTTAGCCTTAAGTTTGTGCCGTAATGGCATTGTCATATGAGCGCCGTATTCGGTATATTTTGTGTCATGTATAGGTTTCCAAAATACCACGTTCAACTGAACTTTAGTATCTGTTCAGTTCATTTTCTCAATATCTCAACAATTTATTCTTACGAAAGCAAACTCTACCGTTTTAGAAATTACAGCAGCGGTTGGAAGGTATTAGGGCTCATTTGAAAACACTGGACGAAGATATTTCCAAGTTCAACGATAACAGAATCTTTCTGAGTGAAGAAGAGGATATTGCAACTAAATATTATTTTGAACGATTAGAAGAGATTGAAGAAAAGCTAAAAGGAATGGAACTTACGGATACTGAAGAATTCGATGTTGATGCTGCAGCAGAAGTACTGGCAACAATATATCCAGATGACCATCCACGAGATGTACTACGTGAACAGGGCATTCTATTTGATGATGACGATTCATATGATCTTAGTCCTAGCACTGCTACAAGTGATGATGATAAGAGCAAATTCAAAACACCACCTGATGATGAAGTATGTATTATATGTTATGGAATTTTCCTTTGGTTAGCTTATGTCAGAATGAGATTCTCGGATACTTTATACAGATTATGAAGTGTGAATTCTTGTCACTTGTTCACTTATGGGTCAATCATTGAACTGACCCGGCAGCTAGAATTACAACTCTGTTTTAGAGTTTAAGCTCAAGCTTCCGAGAGTTCATGTACCGTGTACACTGACATGCTAGACTCAGTTTTCAAAAAAAAAAAACGATTCTAGTGGAAAAGGTTGACTTATCTGTCTAATCAACAATATGAGGAAAATTATAGGGCAGAAACCATTAAAATGAATCTCTGTCGTGTTTGTCTTCAACTGATACTCAAAGTATTAAAACTAATGATGAAAGCAAGTCACAGCCAGAAAGTTCCTTGTGTTAATTACAGCTAATACTGGAAGAAAGCGAGAGGGAAGATGCCGTTGAAGCTCATCCATCACTCGGTGTCGTTGCACTCTCACCAGTTCCTGATGATCCAAGTCCAGGACGTGTACATTACGAACGACAGCGTTCTCGTTGGAGACGTATACTTCGTACTGCATTACCTCTCCAGGTTTGTCTTTCACAGCTGTGAAGTGGAAAGCTTTTTGAACCAAGTATTTTATTTTTAGCTCAAAAAACCAGTTTTCAAGAAAATTTGTGCAGATACCACAGTCACTTGTCAGTCATTCGTTGCTACAGAATCTTAAATTACGATTTTTGCAGGCTATGCTTGTGTTACTTCTTGGTGCAGCATGTCTTGTACCACATTGTGATGATGAAAGTTGTTGCCAACTGCTCAATAATTTTGCGCGAAACTTTGATCCGTCGTTAGAATTTTTGAATGGACCGCCACCGTTTTAACGCATTTATGTCACTTATACACTCTTATTCACTGTTATTGCCAATTTTCTGTTGGAAAAGAAAAACGAATGTTCCGTTTCTTTGTTTCTTTTGTTGTCGATTCATATAAAACTTTTGAAGAGGATAAAGTCCGTGTAGTTCATTTGTTTTATATGTCTATGTTATAATGTTTACACATTGTTCTTTCTAACTTGTTTAAAAATAAATATTAAGCGAATTAATCATGCCTGAACATTTCAAAGGAAGCCAATAAGTTAACCGTCGAAGGATGCCGGTTATCTCAAAAGCGTCGGAAGGGCTGATGACCGTTCTCTAAATATATAATGAAGGCCCTGTAACATAACGACGAATCGTACATTTCGATTCTTCAATAACATTATTCAGCAATGGTACCTTTCTCATGTGCCATTCCGTTTATGCCGTTCAGCCAATCTCTCTTTAGTCCACAATACTTCGCAACCGTAGCACGAATATGTCTGTATCACATGAGTCGTGAATACCACAACTCCGATTTATGTTTAGCACTAGCAAAATTTTTAAATCCTTCACGCAACAACACGCAATAAAAGTAGTTGTAATTTTCTTGTAAACAATAGAGCAGCACCAAGGGAAGAATAAAACAGGAGCATATTTGACGAGAAAATCCAAACAATAGTTATTTCCCTAAAAAATTTTGGAAACAAAATGAATAACTTTGCAGGGAAAGAAATACAATGGTTAATTGTAGTATGGTAATGACGTGGCACAATAATTATATTATTGCCGTTGTTGATTTTGATAAGACACAAACGTATTCCAGGAATAGTACCCTGGACTGCAAAGGTATAAATTTAAGTTAGAAACAAGATTATTTAGAAAATTCAAAAACTGGGCAAAAATGGAAGACAAACAACAAAACATGTATTATGGATAATGATTTCAATTATATTATGAAACCACAACAATTTGATTATATGAATTTCTTTAAATAAATGTAAGAAATTTCTGGAGATGAGTTATGTTGTAATAGCGAAAGGGGCAAAGGGGAACTAAAACGCACGAAGAGATTGATTGATCCAGGATAGGAATAGTTTCCTAATGTAGAAAGAATAATATCTAAATTCAGGTGATCTCCGAAATGTGATGAATTTTCCCAATTTCCCTCCAGAAAAAGTGAAAAATTCCTTCAAAAGCGCTTCCCATTCTTAGGTGAAGGAAAAATGGCTGACGACATCCACATATCTTTGTTGACTGCTTTTTAATGATGCCTTGTCACTCCACATTTCTGGTTAATATGATCCATACATTCCAGTCCAATGTGTGTGATTTCAAAAACAAATGAAGGCTGGAAAAGTTAAATAAGTATGTTAAAAGCGGGAAGCTGTGGCACCAAATAAAACTATTCCAGGAAATTCCATTTTAATTGAAAGTACAGTGAGAGAAATCATATAATTAGAAGATTTATAAAATCATGTGAATACACCATAAAGTGAAAAAATGAGAAGGCACAAACAATTTGGTATTTTTTCCAGTCATTAGCATTTTTTTAAGGCAATTCCTCATAGATTGCAGAAATTGTAGATATTTAAAATTCATTAGCACGCTGGCTACGTTCAATTTCGAGTTCATATATGATTGTAATCGTTTTCGAATCCAAATACGCGACGGCTGAACGTAGTTCCAACAACTGCGTTCGATCGTAATGCTGCTTGCTTATATTCACTTCTGTCACAACGTTACTACCGGCTGTGGCGCTATTTAGTTGAGTCAAATTCGGGGTGCTACCTGTTTTACCAGAAGAACGCCACTGTACATTATTAGTACTTGTCGGTGAGACATCACAGCTAGAAATAAAGATAGTGATTATAAGAAATGTTATTCTTCTACTAATAAATCAAAGAAATTTCTGCCAATTACAAACTTGACGACTTGGCGGTTTGATGAGGATTGCAGCGGCATTGACTTTCTTCTTTCTTTGCGCTGTTCACGTTCTTCAGCTGATATGCGCGAATGATTTCGGCCAACTCTAGTCAAATATTCACTCAGAGCTGCTTGTGCTGCCTGCAGTATTACAACTAAATAATAAGAGGAAAACTTGAACAGTTCTCAGAATTGCAAGCTGCAAATTTGCGAAGACACGGATGATGTATCAGAAGCAATAAAAATTGATGGTGTACGGTTCAATTAGAGAATGAACCAAAAAGAAATATATTAATATAAAATTAACCCAACTTCACAACAACGTCAAGTTTTTTTATCAAATTTTATAAAAAATAACTTGAAGCACTTGTGGATCGGCGCATGACAGTTTCAAAGTGCCATCTTGCGTCGTTTCGATTGATATCCCAACATCATCATCATCATCATCATTGTCATCGATTCCTGTACCATTTGTTTCAGCCTAGAATCAAATTTTAGTCTGTCAAAAATCAGGTAGTGATTCATTACTTTCATAAACAAATGGCAATCAGAAGGGTGTTATATGATGGTAAAAAGACATCTGAATTTCCAATGAATGATGGGAACGCTGAGCATAGTTCAAATTAAAAGAAACAAAAGATAGATAGACTCAAAAATAGATAAATTTCATAACTAACATTTTTGACTTGAGCAAACCCAAAAGATGTGGAAAGTTTGTTTAGAAAAATAAGTGGGAACCATCCCGTAGTGTGATAAAGAAAAATGAATTTCACTGGGAACAAGTTGACCAAAAAAAGTAACAAATAAACGAAAGAATAAACGGGTACTCGATTAGGCGAAACATTACGACGAATTGTTTGCTCGATGAGACGTTTCGCATAATCAATCGACTCCTGGTTACTACCAGTTATTGTCAATGTACGATCCTTGCATTTGGAATCAACTTTTTGAAACGATATTACCGTTTTGCTCAGCTCTTCTACTACCGCTACACGCCGACCTTTCACACCCATTACTGCAAGGTTACATTCCAAATCAAACATTCTGGTTTGAAAAATTTGTACAAGCTCCCTTTGATAGCTACTGTTAAGTGTTCTAAAGATAAAGGAACAGAAGAAAAAAAGTTAAGTACACTGGATCGTATCCTAAAATATGCTCTAGTAATTCAAATTACGCCAGTCTCTATTAAACAATGGTTTGGATTTTCTGCAAAATATGTAGTCAACTAGATTACGTTCTCAGCACATAAATGCAAATACTTGGAATTACGGTATAAACAGAAAGGCAAAATTTCGAGTTACGATAAGTCGTCCAGTAAAATCTAACTTTCTAACAAGACTCACTTTTGCCAGAATCACTGTTGCGTATCACCATTTCCTCGCGTAACTGTGGAAGACGACTTTGAGGTGTTTTTGCTTTCAGTTTTGTCTGTTGCAGTTGTTTGTTGGCTTTCGCCCATGCTTCCACATCGATTGATGTTAACTGAGGCAAAATATTACCGGATGGCACAACCCCAGGAGCTACTATCGGTCGAGCCCATCCACCTAGACACACAATGGTAATTGAAAAGCAAATTTTCTTTCTTCTCTTCTATATTCTTCTTAAATTAGTCTCTTTATTACCTGTCGCCTTGATGACCTTGGATCCACCAGAGACGAACAGACAATCAAATCGAACTACATCCTAAATTCCTAATTAACTCGGTAATTTCTTTAGCAGTTTATTGTCAGTGTATGAACATGAATGAACTTCAACGACTACATAAAATCTAAATAAAAAAAAGTATGCTAAATTTTCACGGAACAAATACAATTTTCATGGAATAAATATAAAAACAAACTAGCGGCAGCGGCCGGTATCAGGTAGAAACTGGTTGGTGCAGGCTGTGGAGGGATTACAGAATTGTTTACTTCACCTCCAACATAAAGTGGTGGCGGAGGACCGGCGAAATTACCAAATGGATTCACCGGGATTGTACCGAACGGTGGAGCACTCACCGGTGCCGGATCTGCAAATAATTAATAGGAATATAAACAAAAGAAACACGTGAAAGGATAGGGAACTCACCCAATGATGAATCACTGATACCGATGTCATTATTCGTATAGTCACAACTAGTTAGTGTTTATGCCAAGTTTTGTTTTCTGATACCATCATATTGATACCATTGCTGAAGCAGTTACCTTGACCCTCTCATCTATTTTATCTTCTTAACTGGCCTCAATCAATAACAATCCATAATTGTGCGCCTATCCACCATTCTCGAAAATAACAGATATTGTGTCAAGCATGCCGTTAATATTAGATCAATTAAAGGGAATTAAAGGTACCGATTTGTGGCTGTTGTTGTTCAGGACGATTAAGATAGTACTGCGTATGTGCTAGGCTTGGTCTCCAACCCATTGCACGCAGTTCCACCAATTCCATCATTTTGAGCCGACATGGAGTCCCAAGTTGACCATTGTCGCGACAACAAGCTTGTCGCAGAGACACGAAAACTCGGTTCAGTTCATCTGCAGAAGTTACATTACTTATCTATCATCTTACAGTTAAATTTCCAAATATAGAAAAACATGCACGAAATAAATACGCGTCGTAAAGTCAGTCCGGCAATGGTTCAGCGATATTTCCCAATGCCAGTTGCGCTGTGCTATGTTATTGTCATCAAATTCCTTCGTTAATAGTTACTTCTGACCATTCTTCCACTGTTTCTTTCATTGCATCCAGCAGAATGGCCACTTACTTATTCATATGCTATCTGTGAACAGAATAATAAAATTTTTTAAAAAAATGGCAATTCTGAAGAATCATTTATAAAAGAAAAGCAAACTTTTATGGGACTGCTCCAGAAGTTGTCCAGAAAATTTTAGCTGTTGACAGAGAACAAAAATCTGATTAGCAAGCTGAGCGTTAAACAGTCCACTTTTCACCGACGCATTTATTTGATTCATCAAACTGAGCAGTTGCTCTAAAAACGATAAAAACGATCGTATTTCGAAGACGCATCACGAAGGATCATTAGAAAAACTATAATGACCCACTGTCATAGTGTGGAAAAAACCATAGTGGTTTTGTTTTTTGTTTTTCGACTAATTTATTTAATAGATATATCTGAGTATATTGATTCAAATTAATGATAGTTCCACATTACAATCACTTCTCATAAAATAATTTGACTTTTCAGCTTGACCTTTTCGTTGACCCCAGAATCAAGGCGAATATAGCTGTGCTAGATCAATCTGCTTCATCCTTACTAAATCTAGTCCATATTTGCTATCAAATGCACACCACTTAGCATTTGAAAAGTGATATTTTGAAGAAAAAAGATGTTTTGAAGTGGTAATAAAAAGTTGTAACCAATGTCGCCCTATTAACATGCGATATATCACACAGATTAGCAACGGTTCTTCTATTGTTCGCTTTACTCATTTTTGATACTTAAGATGGAAAAATTCAGTCTCAGACTTTTTCACTTGGAATTCCACATTTGAAAACACTTTTTCTCGAAACCTGTGACAATTTTCCAATGAAAATTTTCTTAATTACGAAAGACTTGCTGATGTGCTGAAATTGTTGCCAATACATCATTAACAGTTCGAGGTCAGTGTTTGGATTAGCATTTTCGATCATATAGGAAATGAAGATTCTAAGAATTTCCTAAAAAACTACCAGATATACATAAATGGTTGCAGAAAATTTTGGAGATAACGAAGGGATTCCAATTTTAGACATAAGTGACCAGCGTATTACCATCGTCACAACTGATGATCAAAAGCAGTAAATTCAGCATATACAAAATATTTTTTTTTTTACTTTGTTCTCATCATGAATCTTCCTTTTTCTTTTATTCAAATGAAAAAAGCTACTTTAAAAAAAATGGAAAAAAAACCAAGAAAAAAAAACAAAACATCCTAAGACAAACAATTTCCTAAGCGGTTTTCAATGAGGTCCATAATGATTAAGCAAAACCCAACGATTATTCAGTGGATCACTTTACTGATTTTTGTAAAACCAACTAAACGGAATTTTTTTCTACGAAAATTAATGTTCAATTATTCCCAAAAATTTTCAAATTTACAGGAATACCAGTATGTTTGCCAGCATGGATTAGGAGCCGACTTAGAATTATTCCATAATCATCCCCCGATGTCATCGTTTTAATTAGGACCTGACTAATTAGACCACAAAACTGGACAAAATATTTTTTAATTTAAGAGCTATTCTGCATTCTACAAAATCGACTCAACTGTTCACCTGTTCAAAAAAAGCTTTTCAAAGACTTACAAAAATTACAGCGCAGGATGGAGAATTTGACCCCCACACCAACGCTTCCATGTATGAAATTATTCCATTTGTCGCATAATAATGTTCACACTATGAATCATATTGAATTTAAATGGGAAAATTATTAAGGAATTTTTCAAATTCGACCAAACCAATGATAGAACGAATTGATGTAAAGAATTCACTGGTGTGTACAATAATCGTGTGAATAATTCTTCTCAACATAGAATTGTAAAGATTTAAGCGCTGACCTGTTAATGATGACGTACGACCCTGCTCTGAGTCATCATTTTTAAGAATGAGATATGAAATAAGCCGCAATACTTGGAGCTATACTATTCTTGATCAGAAGCGCTCCAAAGTTATTTGTAGGAATGAATTTTCCAGAACGCATATATCTGTGAAAAAAAAAGTGCTAACATCCCTTACACTCATATTTCATTTTTTTTTCTCCTGCTTCGAAATTTATGGAGAAATTTAAGTGTACAGAGGTATCCTTTCTTTCGGAAAAAATGTCAAGAAATCATTCAGAGAAAGTGGAATAAATGAATCTTGGGAGCAAACTAAAGGATAAAAATAATCTCTTCACTATTTGCGGAGATATAGTTAAAAATTAGATTGGCTGAGAAAATCATGACTGATGACTGATAACTGATAACTAATAACGCATCAAATTAACCCTTTCATCTCTGAAATTCTGAATATCCCAAACAAATTACCATATATATATGTTATCGTTCATTCATCTGTTCAGAAATTTCTACTGTTGCAATACCCATCGAGCAAGTAAAATTTATGGGATCTCTTCACTTTGCTTATTACTGTTGTTACTGATAAGATAATGATCTTGCTAAAAATTATTGTTGAGAAAGTAATAGAACGATTAATTTTTTCCAGTGTTATTTGGGAGTAATACATTACTGATGCTTTATAGAAAGGCATTCCGCTTTACTTTTACTTTCCGTAAGTCTCAGCCATTCTTTATTTCGTAAATTTTAATACATGAAAATGCAACAAAAGCAATGAACAAAATTCTCATTAACTTTGCGATAAACTGAATTAAAATTACTTTCAATAAACTGATCATTAAATTGTTTTTTAATGAGCTGAGCAGTATGCATGATGCATTCTACGATTTCTAGATAATATGCAATTCAATCTCACTCCATCATCTATTGCAGCAAATTTCGGCACAAATTACTGATATATTGAATCGAAAAGTCCAAAGGTTCATTACACTCTCAAATTTAACAAATAATATTTCTATGTCCATGAAGTTCCCAATATCGACAGTACTGGGTAGTCACTATCTCTTATGGCGGTTTAGCTAAATGTCAATCGCAAGTGACTTCTAAAATAAGCTTAGGTTGAAGCAGTTAGACTATTTCGTGTAGTTTATACATGCTTAGGTTACAATTAAATTAAAATCAAAAGAATCACAAAACACTATATCCGTCTGTTGCGTTCTTCAGATCTCTTCTTCAAAATTTAAAATTGTGGAAGGAAATTTCCAGAAAAAATCATAAAGATTGATGACTGTGTGTGTATGTGTGTGTGTGTGTGTGTGTGTGTGTGTGTGTGTGTGTGTGTGTGTGTGTGTGTGTGT